CCATTTTGATTACCTGTCCTCTCTGTACCTTTGGCCTCCTGGCTGCTTCTCCTGGCTCCCTCTCTCTCTCCTCTCCCTTCCCCCCTGCCTCTTCCCACATGGTACAGCTCAGTCTGGCCATGTCCACTCTGGACTCTCCCAGATGTCCCTGCCTCTGGCTATGCTCTCCCACGGATCTATAATAAACTTTCTCCTCCACCATACCTAGGAGCAGTAATGACCTTTCTTTTTCTCTTTATTTCTTCTTTTTCATTCAGAAGGCATGAGTCTACTGCTCCTTGTACAATGTGGATTTCAGTACAAATTACACACAGTGGTGAGACCAACATAACTAAAACCCCTCTTTCTGTAAACTTAAAAAAAAATCCTGTAAGTTTCAGGGAATCAACTTGAATCTGCCTCTCCCGAGTCAAACAGACTCCAAATAAGTACTCCTGTGAGCCAGCAACCTAAGTTTTCTTACCTACTTCCTATTCCTGGAGGTGGCAATCTCTACACCTTTCCTGGTCTTGGGACTCTCCTCTCCCAATTGGCAGGACCATAGGCCTTGAAGTTTCAAAAGTACACCCAAGATAGATAAAAAAATGTCCTCTAAACTCCTTAACCTTGCCTTCTCTTCCTCGTCTATCTTTGCCAACAGATTTCAAGTCAACTGAAGCAACAAGCTAGGGGTTCCTTGAAAATCTGCATCCCAGATAGCTTCAAAGTTGCTAGCCCCAGATGGTCCTGTAGAGCCTGGACAGCAAGTGAAATAGCCTGCTCTCCCAAGACTTGGCCAGCATTCCAGCTTCCAAGGGTTGGCTTTATTTATTTAGTAATATCAATTCTTTGTTCATTTACTTAAAAAAATTTGAGACAGGGTCTCTGTGTAACAGTCCTGGCTGTGCTGGAACTCCCTCTGTGGACCAGGCTGGGCTTGAACTCACAGAAGTCCACCTGCCTCTGCTTCCCAAGTACTGGGATTAAAGGTATGTGCCACCATGGCCCAGCTAGATTGACATTTTTTTAAGTGACCAATGACATTTTACAAGAAGGACAGAAGGTGGGTGGCCTGCCTGGCCTGTTATGCATTTCCCCATTTTCTTCACCCTCCATGTGTATACCCTGAATAAAATTTCATGTAGTGTTCTTTGGGGATTTGGATTTTTGTTTTGTTTTGTTTTTACGTTTCTTTTGAGATGAAGTCTCAGTACACAGCCCTGGCTGGCCTGAAACTCACAGATATCACCCTGCCTCAGCTTCCTGAGTGCCAGGCTCACAGGCATGCACCACACACCAGCCTTTTAGTAAGGTTTTAGGTGAGAGTCTGGAGTCTGCGATATTTTCTGGCTTTTCTTAGTTTATATTCCTTGACCCTGGGCAGCAGTCACCGAGGAGTTACCAGAAAGAAGAGAAAAAGAAACTTGCAGATATTTCCACAAGAAACGAAGGTGGTATCTGCAGAGATGGGTCCTGAGTCAGAACAGGGAAGGGAGATAAAGTCACCACAGGGGAGGCGGGTGCCCAAGGAAACCTGATTCTGTGGAAGTCCAAAATGTGGCCCTGAACATCCAGGACTTTAAGGAGAATCTGAGATTGGAGGATGTGTGCAAGTGTCCTCGAGGGTTGTCCAGGGTGGATCCACAGTAAAGCTCAGATAATCCCAACAGGAAACAAATCTAACAGGAAAAAATAAGCACAAATCCAGCCATGAAATAGTATGTATGCAACCCTGTAAAAGCAGGGAGCTCTTAGAAACTAAATGCATGTGTGAATGAATGAATGAAATATAGTGAAAGTATTTATGGAGCTGGTGAGACAGCTCAACAGTTAAGAGTATATAGACTCCCTCTTTGCAGAGGACCCAGGATCCGTACCCTATGCCCACAGGGAGATTAATAATCTCCACAACTGGGCTGGAGAGATGGCTCAGTGATTAAGAGCACTGGCTGCTCTTCCAGAGGTTCTGAGTTCAATTCCCAACAACCACATGGTGGCTCACAACCATCTGTAATGAGATCTGGTGCCGTCTTCTGGCTGGTAGGCATACATGTAGGCAGAACACTATACATAATAAAAAAATAAAATCTTTAAAAAAAATAATCTCCACACTCCAGTCCTGACCAAGGACTCAAGGACTTCCGATTGTTCTAGAAAGCAAATCCAACTTCTGATGTAAAACAGATGCAACCTCCCCATAGGAACTCTGAAGCTTTGACCTCCTAGCTGTTTCAGTTCCCACTGGCACCCGTGATTGCAGCCCCATCACAAAGCACCTCACATAAAGCAAGTACTTTCTCCCAAGCACTTGATGTCAGGCTCTGCCCACCTGCTTGTCAACCTTAGGAAACCCTAAGGCTTTGTTGACAAGATGCCTTAACTAACGCTACACCAAACCCACAAACCCATCTTAAACAGTCTTAGACTACGAAAGACCCAGCTCTCGTTCTTTCTGAGGCTATTATAGCTGAGTAAGATGCTCATAGCTCAGTGGGTAGGGCGTTCACAGATTAATGAGCAGAGTGCTTGTAGCTCAGCTGGTAGGGTGCTTACTTAACATTCAGGAGGTTAACAGTTCAGTTCTCTTAGTGTTGTGGGTCAGAGGACTGAACTCAGGCTGTCAGGCATGATGCAAGAGCCTTTACCTGTTTTTTGTTTGTTTTTTAATATTTTCAGACAGCACCCAGGTGGCTGTGCTAGCACACTTAGAAAGCTGAGGCAGAAGAATTGTTGCATTTGATATCAGCCTGAGCGATGCAGCTTGTGGTTTGATTTCTTTCTTGTTGCTGTGAGAAACTCCTTGACCAGCAGCAAAGAAAGTGACTTTTATTTAAAAACAAGAACCGTCTGGAGCTTACTTGCAACTTCATTACCAAATACAGGAACTGAACAAAGGGCGGAAAGCTGCAGCGTTTTCCCGAAAATCAGGGATAGGGAAGAAAAACCAAGGCCACCCATGAGGAGGAAAACGGTCGCCCATGAGGGACTCAGAAGCTGAAAGTAGCTGAAAGGGTCATCCCTGAGGCCTGACAAGGAAGCCACGACATGAACCCCATCCACCCTGCACCTTCTGGGGGCTCCTGCAACATCTTGAAACCATCCCATCCTATACCATCTTGGATTTCACTCCCTCTTGATCCAGCACTCTATCAAACGAGCTACAAATACTCCACCCACTGAGCTAAAAGCACTGCACCACTGAACCACACCCCCTGCCCCATAGCCAATCCTTGACTGTCCATTTTTCCTTTGATTTATTTTTCCCTATTTCTACCATATTCCTGGTAGGAGTGGATTCGCTGCTACCAGGAATTCTTTGCTTTGGGGCTGAACAGCACATGCTCTGCATCTGAGGCAGTTTCGCATCAGTTATCAGTGGCTGGCGTCTGTTTTTTTGTTTTGTTTTGTTTTGTTTTAACCAATCCTGCTTTGCCTGGCAGAGATCGAGATGCCAATTAAAAAAAAAAATACATTGGGTCACGACCTTCGTTCAAGCCAAAGCAGGAGCTGCTTTTCAGGTGCATGTACAAGTGCACTATGACTCCGGGTGACCCCAGCATGACCGGTGCTGTAAACCCTGAGACTCTGAAGCCATATACCCATGAGGCATATGATGTCAGCAGAGCATGCAGAAGTGTCACAAAAGCAGCCAATACGGAAAGGGCTGGGTCCGCGGGACTAAGTGATGTGTGGAAACAAAAAAGTCTGCTGAAAGCAAAGCAGGAGGAGACCCACTGTGTGACAAGGTGGAAGGGAGAACACAGCCAAGCAGGGCAGCCCTGGGTACTGAGCCTACAGCCCTTCCTGGGTACTAGGCCTCACGGCGCCCCAGGGTTTCAGGAGGATGGCACGTGTTAAGGCGATGGGCAGTACTAGGCTGAGTGGGATGTGAACACACAGAAGGGAGTAGGCAGAGGAACACACTGGAACAAGTCCAGCTATCCCCCTGCCTCAGGCATATGTGTATATGATTCACTTAGGTGTTTGGAATTAGAACTCAGATCCTAATTGCTCGAGCTGTCAATCTCACATAATATTTGGTCAATGTTGAGTTTAATAAATGATTTTGTCATAATGAAACAAAAACCAAAATAATAGCATGTTCGGTGCATTCTGACTAGTGAATTATCAGGTCCTAGCAGGCACTCAGTGTTTACTGAATGAAAAAAAAATATTGTTCTCAACGTGAAACAATAATAAAAATAAATAAATAACCCAGAAGACTTCCTTGCTTTCAAAATCAGATGTACCTGCCACCCACTGGCGCCATCAGGACACCTGCTACTGAGTGGACAGTGGACGGTCTTTATTCCTGTTTCTGGGCCCCTTTCATCCCTGTCTCTCAGGACTGTGTCTCATAGCTAAAGCAGGGCTCTACCACGCGCATGCTCTAAGCAGCCGGAGGAACCGCATTCTTTGCATGCCAGGCTCAGAGAAACACTGCCCAGACCTTGCAGGTGGCAGCTGTGGTCTGAAAAGTACCGTGTTCTTAGCACTCCCGGCGAGCCCAATCGTGTATGATGCCACTTAACAGGTCCCTGGAAACCCCGTCTACCCAGGAGTCCTCGGGCTCAGGACCAGCAGGTGCCGCGCGGGTCCACAGGGAGCACGAACTTTCGGGGGAGGGGGCGGAGCTCGCCCGACAGCTCCGCCGTAAGTTCTATCCCCCAAACCTCGGGGAAACTCTCCTGGAAGCCATGCCCCACCCTGACTCCTCCCCTGGTGCCTCCACCTCTCCACCGCTCAGTCTCTGCCAGGAACATCCGCGGGTGGCAGCCGGAAGTTCCTGCGCCTCTTCCTTCTCGTTTCCTGCGGGGGGGGGGGTCCTGAGCCGGGACCCCCGAGCAGCCCCCTCGTTCTATTTTACTTTGGTACAGGCGTGGACTCCGAGGGTAACAGGCAGGGCGGGGCCGCGACCCGACTCCTCCCAGCTCGGGGTGGGCTGGAGGGCGGAGCGCGGCGAAGACAACGCCCCAATCGCGTCGTCCCGCCCCCCGCCCCCCGCCCGCGTAGACCGGTCCCCGCCCAGCCGGCTTCCGCCTGGAATGTAGAGCGTTGCCATAGGCGTCTGTCCCGCGGACCCCACGCGCGTCCGGCGGGTTCCCGCCGCTCTGAGCCCCACTGCGTACGCTTCCATTGTCTTTAGGGCTGTGGGAGCCGGGACGCGTGTGCTTTGCCTCTGCTGATGCCGAGGCTGCCTTTGCGCCCCGGTCGCACGGTGCGTCCTCCGCCCCATGGAGCCGCCCGCGGGGGCCGCGGGGACCGAAAAGGATCCTGCGACCCGAGACAACACCAAGGATGTCAAGGTCTCGGCGCCAGCTGGGGACCCCCCGACCAGGACGTCGTCTCCGCACAAAGCTGGACACGCGCTACAAAACTGGGACACCGTAGCCACAGTGGGTGAGTGAGAACTCGCGTGTCGAGACGCGGCCCGTAGGTGGTCACACAAGGGTCCCCTGCGACCCTGGGGCTTTTATTTCCCACATATTTCAGTACACGGTCTCCGGAAACGGAACGGCCCTACGTCACAGAGCGTTAAGGAGGGTGACTTCACCTTGGGGACTCGGTGGCTCCCTGCTGGGGTGTCAGTCACCCCGGGGACACCACGCCCGGCCTCTCTGGCGCTTGCGCACCCGTTTGGGCCCTAGGATGCCTCGGGGTCGAATCCAGCCTCTCTAGTGTGGACACCTGGTGGAGTTTGGAGGGATGCGTAACCCCCGGGGGACCCTTCAGGGACAGTTTTGCCGATGTTTTCCCCGCATCCCCTGTGTGCCTGGGTCTCGGTTTTTCTTTAGTGGCTCCTAGTTTGGTCTCCCCGTGACCCTGCAGGTTACTGGAGAAGTCGGTGGCTTTCTTCACGGGCCGGGATGCTATGAGAGGGCTGGGATCACGCGAGGTATCGTGGGCAGCGGCTTCTCAAGTCCGTCTGGGGCATCTCGAAGACCTCGGTCGCTAGGACAGTTGCGCCCAGTGTGTTGATTTTTAGGAAAGTGTTCCTGGAGGAGGGACGGAGGGAGGGATTGGCGTCCTCTGCTTGGCAGAGATTCTGGAGACTTCTCCATGTTAGAAGAGGTTCAGCGCCTGGGTTGAGGGAGTCAAGTCGGGGTTGAGGGAGGGTTAACACCTCTGAACCGGGCTGGAGAGATGGCTTGGTGGGTAAAGAAGCTTGTGACCCGAGTTCAATCCAGGTTCCAGCTTGGAGGGAACCGGCTTTTGATTGACTTTTGAAGGAAACAGAGCCCCGGTGAATGTCTTTTACTTATGATGATGTAGCCCTGGTTAACCTTCCTGTTACTGTGTAGCCCAAGATGACCTTAAAGTGCACATTCCCCTACCAATCCTTTCTAGGTGCTGAAATTGCGATCCTACTCCACAGCAGATTGGTTATAAGGTGCTGCGAACCGAGCCCCCGCCCTTGTTTTTGAGATATTGCCTGACCTGAAAGTCACTGCATAGCCCAAGCCCACTGGAGACTTCAGGCAATCCTCTTGTCTTAGCTTTCCCAGTGCTGGGACCATAGGGACTCACTGACACTCAGCACTTCAACTGGTTCTCCACCCTTTTCTTTCTGTCTTCTTTTTTGGAGACAAGGACTCTCTACGTAGGCCTGGCTGTCCTGGAACTTACTGTGTGAACCAGGCTGGCTTTGAACTCCTAGAGATGATCCCGCTTCCCAAGTGTTAGGATTAAATTCGTGTACCACCACTCCTGGCTTTTTTGTTACTTTTTAAATTCACTTATTCAGTGTGGGCAGGGTGGGGGAGAGGGCAAACAGCACCAGTGTGGGGGTCAGGGATCAATTTACAGGCATCTGTTATTCTGCCTTCCACCAAGTCGGTCCAGGGTATTGAACTCAAATCCTTGGGTTTGGCAGCAAGCCCCTTCACCTACTAAGCCCTCTATCAGGCCCACTGGGTCTCCCATTGGACCCCATTGGGCATTTTGGGAGCCTCCCTGGGTCGTGTCACATCCTGAATCCTACAACCTTTCTCTGCTGTGAGCTTGTTCCCTCCAAATCCTCTAGAAGGACCTGGGTGTGTGCACATGTTAGCTTTCCCTCTTCCCATTCAGCCTTTTATTTTATATACACATACTTAACTGAGCTACAAGAACTCTCATCATTGAGGCCTCATATATGTTTAGGCCGTGACTATGACAAACATGATGTTTTATGGGTGTTTGAGACAGAGCTTTCATGTGTAGCCCTGCCTGTCCTGGTGCTTGCTGTGTAGACTAGACTGGCCTGGAACTGCAGGTGCCTACAAGTATACACCACCCAAATCCACAGGGAGCCACCCCCATGCTCACAAGAGTACTCTAGAGCTCACCAGGTGACTCCTGCATCCCCAGTCAGTCCCCAGCACACACCCTACTCTGCATTCTCCAGAAAATAAATATTGATGATATTGCCTCCTACCTGAAATTCATTTCATTCCAGACCAAGGATGTGACTCCCTGAGTACAGTGCTTGTAGCTTAGTTGGAATAGTGCTTACAGCCCAATGGGAAGACTGCCTGTGGTTCTGCAGATAAGGTTTGTGTGATTCATTGGACAGCGTATTTATAGCTTCGTGGGTAGAGTAGCTCAGTTGATACAGTGCTTCCATTCAGTGGGTAGAGTAGTATAGCTACGTGGGTGAGTGCTTGTGACTCAGTGGGTAGACTGCCTATTGCTCAGCGGGCAGAGTGCTTGCAGCTCAGAGGATCTCAGTGGATCTAAATTTGCGGAACAGTCCCCCTCTGCTTGGCTGGACTTCTGCACTCGTTTCCCTGGACTCGGCTGTGATGCCTTGTGTTCTGAGCTGTCACCTGTGCCTCAGTTTACTGTTCAACACCTTCCTGGCTGGCTTTATGAAAGCTGGTATTAAATCTGAAACTTGGTGTTAAATCCTCAGTACTGCTAGGGCAGGAGCTCTGTCTGGGTAGGAGTCTACTTAGATGTATGGTCATAGCTAGCTGTCTTTCAGATCACCAACAGGCTAGCACCTTATTATACACTAGAGAGGAATTGTTGAGGGGGCTAGGCACCTGGTAGTCCATAGTGACAGTAATCCATACTTAGAACCATCTAGGAGACACTTTGGGTCATTCCATTGAGGCGGGAGGTGCTTGGACACGGGTGGGGACCCAAAATGCTTAAAAAGGAAAAATATCATTCAGAAACTCATTCAGTCAATCACCAATCAGTCAATACTGTCAGTCACAAGCATTCATGCCTGTGGATGCAATAAGAGCAGCTGTGTCATGCGCCTGTGTCCTTTATGCCGTACCCTTCACAAGTCCCAGCCTCACTGTCACGTGCCTGGTTAGCACTAGAGGAGTAAGATGTGAGATTTGCATAACATTCATGGATATGTAAATATATACTTACCCACATTGTACCTAGAAGGCCTCCGGCTTTTTCTAGAGCAGTCCCATCCTAAACAGGAAAGGGAGACTGACTGTTCACCCATCGGGCTGTTCTCTTTGCAAAGTTTCTCAAGACAGGCACACTGCACAAAGCCCCTTGCCACATCACCAAGTCCCTGAGTGCCACCTTCTAATTCCTTGTGGTTTATAGGGGTGGGGCTCATTGTCATTCAAGCCAAGCATCTGCCCCTGATGGAGAGTGAAGGATCATGGGATAGAGGGATATGTCTGGCTGAAGCACCCAGGAGCTGAACTGGATAGGAAGGGTCCTCCCTGGGGCCTGTGAGTAGTGGGGCTGATGCACTTACACCTTACACTCCTGTGTTTGTTGGGAGAACAACAGGTGAACCCACTCGCTCTGTGCCATCTTAAATTCCACCAACCTGTGCCATTTTGGTTTAACCCTATGTGCATCATCTTGAACTCTGCCCACCCTCCGCCATCTTAAATCTCACCCAACCTCCGCCATTTTGGCTTGACCCTATATGTGCCATCTTGGAGTCCACCAACCCTGTGCCATTTTGACTTGAACCTATGTGTATCTTCGTGAAAGCCACCCACCCTGTACTATCTTAACTGAACCTACCTTCATCATCTTGAATTTTCCCGACCTGCTTCGTCTTAAATAACCTACATGCACCATCTCGAATCCCACCTCTTGGCAGGCATTTTGAATTGTTCACTGACTTGATTTATTCTTTCAGATTCCTTTTCCTGACTGTTTACTCCTCAACACTCTCCTAGGACATAAGGTATCCTCAACCCTTGGCTGTGTGTCTGTCCATCTCCTCAGCCACTGGCATCCTCGTCTCAAATCACCAAAAGTGACACTCTGTTGACCATCTCTCAGAGGCACTTGTCATGTATCACTGTAAAGGTGGTTCTAGAGTGAGTTTCAGGATGATTTTGTTCTAGGGCTGGGGCCAGACTGGGATGCCACCCAGAAGGAGGAAAGCAAGAACCTTTCACAACGTCAGTCACACAGGCCAGTGCTTCTTGCTTCAGTCTCCCCTACAGCCTGGGCACTCTACGCTGAGTCTAACCACACTCTTAGGACAGTACCTTCATTATCTGGAGAAGTTGTACTTACTGAGGCTTTCTCTGTATTCAATCAAATTTTCATTTTATTTTATTTTTAAAGTACTGGGCATTGAATATAGAATCTCATTTACACTAAGACAATCCCTCCTCCCTCCTCTCCCTTTCCTTCCTAATTGTCCCCCTGTAGCTCAGTCTTTCCTGGAACTCACTGTATAGTCCAGGGTGTCCTCAAACCACTGTTAATCCTTCTGTCCCCACCTCAGAAGTGCTAGGATTAAAGCCTACCTCACCAGGCCAAGTTTATGCAAAGCTGGAGATTGAGCCCAGGGCTTCATGTGTGCTACACCAAATATCTTACTTTCAGTTTTATTTCCTGTCTGAAATAGCCATCAGGTCATCACACTTCCTTTATTTAAAAAAGATTTTCTCCTGAGCTTGAGGGTGTAACTCAGTTGATAAAGTGCTTTTAACTCTGTGGGAAGCGTACTTGTGGCTTAGTAGATTGGCTCTTCTTATGGGAGGCCATCAGTGCTAATGACATCAATGCACTCTGTTGCATTGACATATCCGACACTTGGCTCCTCCAGGAACGTTCTGGGCTGTACTTCCAGTCCAGTCTTCTGTTTATTTTCCTTTTGTGAGGCTAGGAATGGAATGTGGGGAAATTTTTTTATTATTATTTTTGAGGGATGGAACCTAGGACCTTGTGTATGCTAGGCAAGCACTCCGCTGAGTTACACACCCAGCCCAAGAGAAAATCTTATTAGTATTATTATCATCATTATTATTGTTCTTATTATTGTGCTAGGTGCTGGGGATGTGGCCAGAGGACTCATTTGTGCCAGGCATGTACTCCAGCACTGAGCTGTACCCCCATCCATACCGCCCACCTCTTTAAACACATGTGCTATATTGACCTGGGACAAAAATTGCCATATTCCAATATGATGGAGAAAAGAGAAAGAACCTGCATCCCTCTGTACAGCCTACTGGGATTGTCCCTATTTGTACCCCATTGGTTACTGATACCCAGTTCTGGGCATCTGGGCCACTTTCATATAACATCTGTGTCCGCTATCCTGGGAGCCTATTACATAAAAATTCATCCCTCCCCCATGCCAGTCATAGAGAGAATTACTTTTGGAAGGTTCCAGGTATTCATGGATGGGGCACTTGACTACCATTTGTAGAGTGTGCTCAGGGCGTGGGCAGCATCTTCCTACTCTGAGGTAGTCATTTTTTTAATTGAGGAGGCCACTCATCCTTGTGGCGTAGAGGACAATCTTGGAGTCTGTAAGGGCTATAAAATGGTGTACAATTAATTTGGGTGGTGATGTTTGTTACCTTGCTGCCCCTGTGACCTGGGAGTCACTTTACAGGTCGAGGGACTGTGCTAGAGTGACTGGTGTTAATGACTGGGGCTTAAACAGCGAAGATGGAGTGATTTTTGCATCACATAGGAACACTGGGACATTCACTGGGATGGGCAGATAACAACGTGCATTTGAGTGATTGTGGGTATGTTGGTAGTTTACAACCAAGGGATTAGGGGTGGAGGTTGTATAGGGTCAGATAACTGGGTCCAGTGACAGCACAGTTCCTTCTACAGACTTTGAAAATTGGTGTGGAATGTGTATTAGCTAGCTTTCCATTGTTGTGGCAAAAAATCCCTGACATAATAAAATTATAAAGATGTGTTAGCTCTTGGTCTCAAAGGTGTCTGTCCATGACTCCATTGCTTTGGACCTGTGGTGACACAGAGCATCATGGGAGCATGTGGTAGAGCAGAGGTGCTCACTACATAGTGGTCAGGAAACATAGAGAAGAGGATACTGACGTCCCAGTGCCCCCTTCAATGACACGTCCCTGATGAGCTAAGTTTCTCCCACTAGGCAGTAAACAGCACCTTGCCCTGGGAGTTTCGGGTACTTTCTGGTTCTTTGTTCTGGCAGCTTCTGGCAGTTGGCACTCTGTTGCACTGTGCTTTTCCATGGTGTTAGGTTTCTCAGCTGCTTTGCCTCTGCAGCTCCCCTGCTCTGTGTAATCAACACCACCAGCTGCCTCTGTACCCACAAGCCGCAAGCACAAGTGTGAAGGAAACAGGTCGGCAGTCATCTGACGCAGAAGCCATCCCGTGGACTGCACATCGCAGTGCATCTGTCAGGCTCTGCTCACACAGTGTATTTTAGACACAAAAGTGATGTGCCCCCCACCAATCAGAAGTACTCACAGGTTTCTGGTGTCGCAGCACTTGCTTTTCTCATTGCTGTGACAAAATGCTTGATAATCAGAATTTAAGGGAGAAAGGATTATTGTGTCCCAGACTGGAAACAGGAGTATGAATGTCAGGAGCAGAGAGAGGTGACCACCGGGGCTCAGGTCTTTTTCCTCCTCCTTTAATCCAGGAACCCCAACGAAGGAATGGTGATGCCCACATTCAGGGTGGGATTTCCCACCTCAGTGACCCCCCCACTTCAGTGAGCCCCATATTCAGGGATAGCCTGGGGCAGTCCCTGCTGAGGTTATTCTAAGAACATTTTCAGCATGCTTACCCCAATCCTCTCTGTAAAAATGTCTGTAAATACTCCCACCCACTTTTCCCATCTGATCCACTCTAGGCCAGTCCTGACTTCCTACTCAGGGTCACTTGTGACTCTGTGTGCCTCCTCCAGTCCTGTGTGTTCTGTGACAGGTGTCTCCTGATTGGTTGGCATCCTTTTCTAAATAACAAAGCTACAGAGATCCACTTTATATCCTAATTAATTTATTGTAAGCTAAGATAGTAGAAGTAAAAAGAAGTGCTTTTGAGGCTGGGCATGACAAAGCATGCCTTTTTCTCCTTTAATACAACTTTGGTGCTGAACATGGTTCTCGTGGTCGTTGGGCTATTCAGCCCACTGTCTAGCTGTGGATGAGTGGGTGTCTTTCTTGGTCCTATGCCTAGCTCTAGCTTGCTGTGTGGAACATCCTGCATGTTTGCAAAGATTGGGACTTTATGAGGTTTGCTTTTTCTTTTCTTTCTTTTCTTTTCTTTTATTTTGGGAGCAGGGGTTTGAGGATAGGGTTTGTTTCTGTAACTATCCTGACTATTCTGGAACTTTCTCTGTAGACCAGGCTGACCTTGCACTCACAGAGATCTGCCTGCTTCTGCCTCTAAAGTGCTGGGATTAAAGGTGTACACCACCACCATCCCGTGAGTTTTGCTTTTTCTTTACTACATTATAAGGGTGAGCACTGTTATGTTGCACAAAGCAGCTATGTTTAAAAGTTGAGATGGGGGCTGGGTATTGGTGATACACACCTTTAATCCCAGAATTTGGGTGGCAGAGACAGGCGGATCTCTTGAGTTTGAGGCCAGCCTGGTCTACAGAGTGAGTTCCAGGACAGCCAGGGGTACACAAAGAAACCCTGTCTATAAAAAATGCCAGGATGTGGGAGTGTGGGTGGGTAGGTGGATGGATGGATGGATGGATGGACGGATGGATGGATGGATGGATGAATAAATCGGGAATGGGGGTGGATGGTTTAGAACATAGAGTGAAATGGAAAAGAAGGAATGAGAGGAGAGAGAGGATGAGATGGATATGGAGCTGGAAAGGAAAGGAACAAAAGGGGCGTAGTTAGAGGTGAGGATGGAGAAAGATGAAAGGAAGAATTGGGAGGGGGCAAATGCTGTTAGGAGAGGGAAAAATGAGGAGATAAAAGAGCAGAGGCAGCTGAGGGGTGGGTGGAGGAAGAAAGTGCAGGAAGAGTAGAGAGATTCAAGAGGAGCAGAAGCTCCAGGAGGAACTGGAGGAATAGGAGGAAACGAGGGAGGTGATAGAGGTGGAGGACCGCAGAAGAGGTGGTAACTAGAGAGAGCTAGGGTTAAAAATTACCCCACCAGGCCAGGTGGTGGTAGCACAGGCCTTTAATCACAGCACTCGGGAGATAGAGGCAGGTGGATTTCTGTGAGTTTGAGGTCAGTTCTGCTCAACAGAACTAGTCCCAAGACAGCCAAGGCTACAAAAAGAAACTCTGTCTTGAAAAACAAAAAAAAGTACCCTGCTAGGAGTCACTAAGTCTAGTATCTGGGCTCTTCCCGTAACAGTGTTTAAATCATGGCCAACTTGAAATCCAATCTCCAATGCATATAGCAAACAATTGTTTTTTTTAAGTTTTAGTCATTATTATTACTGTATGTATGTGTGGTTGCATATTATTGCATCCTTGTGGACATCATAGGAAAGTTGTTGAGTGGGTTTAAACTGCCCCCACCCCGCCTTACATGGGTGTCTAGATTTGATCTCAGGTTATCAGGTTTGCAAGGCAAGCCCTTTACCCTCAGAGCCATTTCTCTGGCTGCTTGATTGACAGTTGTGTGTGAAAACATATACATAAAGTCCTCACTGCACAAGTTTCTCTCCCTGTGTCCAGCTTTCAGGTCCCATGTCAGTATGGTGTCAATTTCTCAGATATGTATGCTTTTCCTGATCCAGGGGAGATTTGACTGGCTGCTTTGTCTTCCTCAAGGCACCGGAACATTTGGCCGCGTGAACCTGGTGAAGGAGAAGACAGGCAGGCGGTACTATGCCTTGAAGATTATGAGCATCCCGGATGTCATCCGCCTGAAGCAGGAGCAGCATGTGCAGAATGAGAAGGCAGTCCTGAAGGAAATCAACCATCCCTTCCTCGTCCATCTGTGAGTTCCTGGCTCCTTCCTTCTCAGCTCCCCACTTCCTCAAGGTTATTCTCTCAAGGGGGCATTGTCAGGGAGGTGCTGGCTGTAGCTCAGTGGGTAGAGTGCTTGCAGTGTACTGATAGAGAACTTGTCGCTCAGTGGGTAGAGCACTTGTAGTCCAGTTGATTGATTGCGTGTAGCTCAGCAGGGAGAGAGTTTGTTGTCCAGAGGATAGAGTGCTTGCAGCTCAGCTAATATAATGCTTGTAGCTCAGTGGGAAGAGTGCTTGCCCTCACCTAATAGAGTGCTTGTAGCTCAGAGGTATGAGGTAGGAGATGCTACCAGGTTTTGTCTTGATTTCTTCTTAATTGTGCATGACTGTGCACATCCAAATCGTACTCACAGAGGCCAGAAGAGGGTGCTTTATCCCCTTAGAACTGTAGTTTTGGGTGGTTGTGTACTGCCCAGCCAGGTGCTGGGATGCAAACTTGCATCCTCCACAGGAGCAGCAAGTGTGCTTAACCTCTGATTCATCCCTCTAGCCTCAGCCCATGAATTTTTATAACAACTCCTTTTGTGTGACCTGAATAGGGCCCGTGATGCTGATATCAATCTCTTCTTCAATATGATGCCCCTGTAGAAGTCAAAGACCTGGATCTTTTATTATAGCATCTAGTCAAGATGACAGAGTAACCTAATTATTCATTCATAATTTTCATCTAAAACTCAACTGGTGATTTTTATCAATGTTAAAACCCTTTTTTGTTTCTTATACACATTTATGTAAAATATATTTTATACATATGTGCGTGTGTGTGTGTGTGTGTGTGTGTGTGTGTGTGATATCCACAGAGGATTACATCTGCCTTTGTTACTTAGTTCACACTAAGAGTTTGAGACAAAGTCTCCTGCTGACCTGGAACTCAGCAAGTACACACACACACTTAAACCCACAGATATAAATAAAATACAGACAAGTATTTCTTAAAAATTTAAAACACAAGGACCTTAAATTATATATGGACTTAAATATTAGCCAAAATGGGTTCCTCTTGGTGAAAACACCAACTAAGGCTCATCCCTCTGTATCTGTCCCAGTCCCTTTTCTTATGAGGACTCGGTCCTGTTAAGTCAAATCTATCCCAGAGAAATCATTCTACCTCAGTTTCCCCATAAAGACCCAGTTCCACACACAGTCCTGTCCCAAGGTCTTGGGTGTGCAGACTTTTAACACAGAAATTCTGGAGGAATGAATCCTGAGTGCTTAAGTCAGACTAGACATCTCCACCCACTACTGTGTGACTACACATTCTTTATAGGAATCTTTTCTCTTCTTGCTTTTATATATTTTGCATTCATAGGACTCAACAGGCAGGTTAAGAACTAGGTTAAAGTTCACTTAGTGTTACAGGGACTTGGAGTACTCACAACATGGCAGAGCATGCCGTGTTATCTGCCCAGCTGTGGGAACACAACTTAGTTGGGCCTTTGAACTTCCAAGGATGATGTGCATGCTGCTCAGGGTCATCATCCTGCTTGTGTGTGTTGTCTGTGAACGTGGAATAGTCTGTTTGTCTTGAACAGACATAAGATGCATAGTGGGAATGGCTTCAAACAGCTGATGGGACTCTCAGTTTGTATTGCTGCAGGGATCTGGGCTTATTTGCAAATGGTTTTAGTAAGAGTCGGTATTAGACTTAGCCCACTGTGGGTGGCACCATTCCCAAAGTACAGGGAAAATGTCCTGTTTCAACTGTCAACTGACACAACCCAGAAAGGTCTCACTGAGGAAATTTCCATTTCAGATCAGCTTGTGGGCATGTCTATGGGAGTGTTCTAATTGATTACTGGTGTAGGGATCTGCCCACTGCAGATGACACCATTCCCTAGGTAGGACGAGAGTGTGCTGTCACTTGGCACAGTGTGTGCTCTGGATGGAGACCATGATCCCTCATCTTGTGCAACCATTCTTTTTATGTCAGAGGGATATACACACAGAGTTCTAACCAGGAATGAAGTCTTGAGTAGAGTGAATTTTTGGAGAGGTCTGAACTGTAAACTCTGAAAGGCTAAGTGTCTCCGGACACAATACAGCAGGTGTTTGGAGGAGCCTCCTATCCTAGGGGATTATAGTCAGAGAGGGATCTGTAGACATTGCTTTGTGTGCATGGAAAGCAGTGATGTTTTTGGATGAAAACCTTGTGGTAGTTGGATGAGAGTTACTTGGGGGAGGGGGGGAGAGAGAGAGAGATGATATAGATGATAGCTAAAGATAATTGATGGATGGATAATGGATGGATGATAGATGGTAGACAAGTGATGGATGGTTGGATGGATAGGTTAAATAGCTAGATAATAGATGATTGGTAAATAGAAGAGAGGTAGATAGATACATACATACATATACACACATATGCATATTTATATACATACATACATAGTTTTGGTTAAGATCAGTGTGTTGGTGAAGGTCCCACCTAGGGCAACATTGGCTTAGCACCTACTTTGCCTGCAAACTTCACCCTCAGATTGTCCTCACATAGCAATCTGAGACATCCTAACATCAACCTGCAACCACAGTCCATCTACGCACATCCTTACCATTAAGTGAACCAACATCGGGCATCTTAATCAAACATCCTCATTACTTACTGTCCAGCTTTGACTCTGTTGCTGTAATAAAACAGTGACCCAAAGGGACTGAGAGTAGCTAAGGGTTAACTTGGTTTTCACTTCTCCCTCACCGTACCCCCTCCCCCATCTTGGAGGTAAGGCAGAGCAGGAACCAGAAGCAGAAAGTTTTCATCCAGCACAAGAAGCCCTCTCCACAGTGAGCAAGTTCTCCTGTGTCAGTCATCAACTCTGACACAGCTTGCAGACACCCACAGGCCAGTCTGATGTGGGAAGTGTCTCACTAAGACCCTACCTAGGTGACTCCAGGCTGTGTCAAAGGTGACAACACATCTTCCCCCAGCTAGGGAATGGTGTCACCTACAGTGGGCATGGCATGATCTTCATTCATCAATCAATTGAATGAAGACCCTCCTCACAGACATGCCCACAGGCCAGTCTGATATTGGAAATTCTTTGCTGTGCCGTTGACAGTTAAAGCTAACCAGGGCACATACATATGTTTGCACCTGTTTGTGTATTTATCTTTATATCTGTATTTATACTTTGATATCTGCATATAGACACGTGTTAGTATCTATATACACCAGTATATTAACGGGAACATCTACCTCTGTATATCTAGAGTCTACACACACATCTTGCCATCAGTGTCAATCAATCACCAACATCCATCTGCATCTACATCTCAGCACCCACTTCAACATCCATCATGCACTCTGTTGCATCTTGCAGGTTCTGGACTGGCCATGACAACCGCTTCCTGTACATGCTGATGGAGTTTGTGCCTGGTGGTGAGCTGTTCACTTACCTGAGGAACCGTGGCCGCTTCTCCTCAGTAGCTGCAATCTTCTACTCCACAGAGATCGTGTGTGCCATCGAGTACCTGCACTCCAAGGAGATTGTGTACAGGGACCTAAAGCCTGAAAACATCCTTCTAGATCGGGAAGGGCACATCAAACTCACTGACTTTGGCTTCTCAAAGAAGCTGGTGGATAGGTGAGTGGGAACAATCACAGGGTCATCAGAGGTTGATCGACAATTGAAGGTTCGATTTAGGTGGGTGAACAGACATGAGCAGAAGATGCACGGTAGGCTCTGGTATGATATACCCCTCCCTCCAGCTATCTAATTGGGTATTCTATTATTTTCCTACTAATGTTGTTAAACACTCCTAAAAAAGCAGTTTAAGGAAGAATGGGTTTATGTTAGTTGGTACCTGGTTCCATCATGGGATCATGTGCCAATAGGACCATGTATAGAGGGCAGCTGCTCACATTGCAGCCACATACAGGAAGAGAAAATAGGAAGTAAGGCAGGGTTCTCAAGCCCTGAGCCCACCCCCTGCTGGACACCAAATGTTAAAATACCTGAGTCTGTGGGGAGCACTCCACACCCAGTGTACAACTTTGGGAGTGGGGGTGTCCCTCCAGGTTGTGAGCAAAGGAGAAAATCATTCTGTTATCAAAGTGGTTGAATTTTGCTCTGGAAAATTGAAATAATGTCCATGTGTGAATAACTTTATATTTGAATATATGTGCATATGCAAATATATTTAAATAGATAGTTATATTACATGTACATTTGTGCAGTTTATGTGTTTACATGCATGTATATATGCATATATATACACACATACATGTAGATTTTAGACACACAAGCATATGTTCAGGGATGCTATAGCTAGGTAACATGTTAGTTCCATTTTTGTTGTTGTTTTTCAAGACAGTTTCTCTGTGTAACATCTCTGGCTGTCCTGGAATTTACCTTGTAGACCAGGCTGGCCTTGAGCTCACAGATATCTGCCTGCCTCTGCCTCCCAAGTGCTGGGATTAAAGGCGTGTACCAGCACCGCTAGGGGGCAGTTCAATTTTTAATGCATTTTTTGCCTCAAGATGTATTGTATGAGTGAGTGAGTAATTGAGTGAATGTGTGTGTGCACACACGTGCGCGCGCACACACACACACACACACACACACACACACGTACATGCACATGTGTTACCCACAGAGGCCATAAGAGGGCATTGGATTCCCTAGAACTGAAGTTACACGTGCAGTCATGCAGTTATGTGGGTGCTGGGTACTGAACCCAGGTTCTCTGCAAGAGCAGTCAGCCCCCTTAAGGCTGAGCCACCTCTCCAGCCTCCATCTTAGTGTTTTCTATTTATAGAACTCTTTCCTTAGGGTCCTTTGTTCAGGGCTAAGAGAGCTTCTCGTAGATAATGAAGATGGTGTCACATTCCTGTTAAGCCATGGTGGGGGGAGGCTTCACATTGAGGGAATCAGGCACTTTGCAGCCTCAGCAGGGTATCTCTGTGCTGGGGACAGATTCTCTGTGGTCCCAATACTAGCAGAGTATGCTAAATACCCTTGACCAACCAGACAGCCATGGGGCATTTTGCAAAAAAAAATGATTGTATGCAGAGAGTTTCAAGACTGTAGAAGAAGTCAGGCCCAAGGCTGTAGAAATTTCCACCTAAGGCATGCAAACCTCCAGCCTGGGGCACACACAGAAAGACTCAGCTTTCAGCCCCGTAAGTGGAGCTGTCTCAGGTCCAGTTACCTGTGGCCTCATCAGCTACTGTGCTCTATCTTCACTGATCTTGTTCTAACTGAGTCAGGCTACAAGGATCGAAATCTAAGTTAATAGGCCCAGAAGCACACAGGAGCCAGTGACTGACTGGCTCCCAGTATATTCCATTGGGGAGGGGTGGAAGGCAAAGGGTGTGTGTGCTGCCCAAACTGGGCTGGCACTCACCAGGCAGCCGAGGAGGATGACCGTGAACTCCTTATCCTTGTGCCTTGACCTCCGGAACGCTGAGACACAGGTGAGCATCTCCACGTCCTGTTTCTGCGGGAATAGAACCTGGGTGCTGTGTCTGCTAGGCAAGCGCTCTACCCATTCAGCTACATGCTTCCCACCCACAAAGCTGTTGGCACTCTACTCACAGACCTGTAGTTCCATCCTTGCATAGGCGTCTGAGTTGAACCGCACAATCCCTTGCACCAGGTCTGAATCTGTTATTTACAGATTCTGGGCCTGAGTCCCTTCCATACATTTCACTTGCAGGACTTTTCTCCCCATCTATTCCCTGCTCTGTCTGGTTCACTGCACAGAGGTTTTTAGTGTTGTGCCCTCCTGCTGCCAACCTTCCTGAGCCACTAGAGTCTTTTTCAGAAAGTCCTTGTGCTGTGACTTATGCAAGTCCCCTGCAACTGGAGTTACAGGTGGTTGTACCACCACCATGTGGGATGCTGGGGATCATATTCAGGTCCCCACAAGAACAAGTACTCTTATTCACTGAGCCATCTCTCAAGTCCGCTTTTTTTTCTAGACAGGATTTCTCTGTAACTTTTAGAGCCTGCCCTGGAACTTGTTCTGTAGACCAGGCTGGCCTCAAACTCACAGAGAGCCACCTGCCTCTGCCTCCCGAGTGCTGGGATTAAAATTGTGTACCACCACTGCCCAGCTCAAGCCCACTTTTTAAAAAATGATTTATTACATTTATTTATTTTGGATGGGGAAATGTGCCATGGTGCATAGGTGAGAGGACAGTTTGCAAGAGTTAGTGCCCTCCTGCCTCCCTGTGAGTCCCAGGAGTTGAACTCAGGTTGTCAGGCTTGACAAAAGTGCTTTGACCCAGTGAGCATCTGCCTAGGGTTTCAAGCATGCTATGCCAAAGCTCTGTCCACTTTGCCATGGCTCCAGCTCCAGGACATTTTCATTATGTGTAAACATGAACCTCTCCACACTCCCTTCATTCGCCCCTCACAACCCATTGGTGTACATTGTACCTCTCTGCATCTTCCTGGCCCACACACTTCACACACACAACAATATTTTTTCCTTTGCATGTCCAACTTATGCAGTGGCCTCTTTATCTGTGTAGTGCCACCTTCAGACTTACCATCCTTTTCATGGCTGAATAATATTTCATTTTAGAGTTTGACCACATGGCATTTATTAAACCTTATATAGCTTAATTTCTTTTTTAGTTGAATCTTTCTTTTGAAAAAAGGAACAATCAATTTTCTTATATGTTCTACAGTTTGCAGTTGTCAGCAGCTGTTTTCTATACCAATTGACTGTTTTTAAATATAAATTAAGGCTAGTTATGGTGGCACACACCTTTGATCCCAGCATTCAAGAGGCAGAAGCAGGTGGATCTCTGTGAGGCTGAGACTGGCCTGGTCTACACAAGTGAGTTCCAAGATAGCCAGGTCTGTTACATAGAGAAATGTTGTCTCAAAATAAACAAACACTCAGAAGTCCTGATGCTCCTGCCTCCGCCACCACATCTTTTTATGCCATGCTGGAAATTGAACCCAGAGCCTACTGCACACCAGGCATGTCCTCTGCCAACTGAGCCACATTCCTAGTCCCATCACTATTTTTTTAAAAGAATGTGTAGGTTGAAACTAACGTCTTTATTTTTTTTATATTTATTTATTATGTATACAGTATTCTGCCTGTATTAACCCTTCACACCAGAAAAGGGCACCAGATCTCATTACAGATGGTTGTGAACCACCATGTGATTGCTGGGAATTGAACTCAGGTCCTCTGGAAGAGCAGCCAGTGCTCTTAACCTCTGAGTCTTCTCTCCAGCCCCATCGCTAATGTTAAAGATGATTAATACTGCTTATTGATTCTGCATATTGATTTGCCCATCACCTCCCACTCTCTCCTTCCCTAGTATGCTTTCTACTACTTTCAATTTTGTTTGTTTGTTTAATTATGTGTATCTGTGTGTATGTTTATGTGAGCACAGTACTAGCAGGGGCCAGAAAATGATCATGAGTCCATTAATTAAATTATGTGTAAGTTAATGCAAGGAAGACATTCAGTGAAGAACATGTCACTACAGGGTCAGTTTATGTTATATATGAGGCAGCTGGGTGTGGTGGTCTGTGCCAACCATAGAAGTAGGCAAGTTTGAGGCCAGCCAGGACTTCAAACTAGGAAAAGAGCTTAGATTCAGGAGTGTTTATATTATCATCATCATCATCATTATTGTGTGTATGCTGAATGTTGGAGCACATATCTGTCACGATGAAGGTGTGGAAATCACGGGACAGCCTTTTACAGTCCGTTCTCTCCTATTTCTTATTTGGCTTGATCTTAGACTTGTGTGACTTTACCAGCTGAACACCCAAAAGTTTGGATTTCCTTGGCTTTATGGAACAGGTTCATGTACCTAGGCCAACATGCCAGTCGGATGTGGGAAATCATTTCCTGAAACCCTTCCCAGGGGATTCTGGGTTATGTCAGTTGACAGTTAAGTTAACACAGCATCTCCCTGTGTAGAAAATGGGTCTGCCCACAGTGAATATGGCTTGTACCTCAAATACTTTCATATCATGAAATCTTAGACTTGCCACATCAGTGTGTGTTCAGAAAGGTTTAGATTTGGGAGCATCTTGGTTTCTTTCAGTTAGGAATATTCAATTTATGTGGCCACACATCAGTTTTCTGCATGGTGACCATACTTGCAACTTGATCTTCATCAACCATATGTTATGGCACCTTCCAAATTTCATGGATTCTGCTTCTGTCATCCCCCATAGGACATGGACCCTCTGTGGGACACCAGAATACCTCGCCCCAGAAGTCATTCAGAGCAAAGGCCATGGGAGAGCCGTGGACTGGTGGGCACTGGGCATCCTTATATTCGAGATGCTGTCTGGGTGAGTGACCCCCCTGACAAATGCAACCGGACACACATGGTGTCTCCTTCACACCACCCTACACAGTACCTTGAATCTCCTTTCTGACACTTGGCACATGGACACACTTACTGCACTGTTAAGATTTGGAGGGTATTTAGTTTTCTAAAAACCCAGTATTTAGTTTCCTTAAACAAGAATTTAAATTTTCATAGACATTCATAGTTCCCTATGTGTAACATCCATCTTATTTGTGGAATGACACATGAGGCTGAGCAGTACCCACAGTGAGCAAATGACACCAGTCAGACAGCATAGTCATGATAGAAGAGCAGATGAGGAAGGCAAGGTTGTGCTGTGTTTTTTTCACCACCCTAAATTTCCTTTCTTGGCAATGCATAGAATGTGGGAGTTATGGGCTTTGTTTGTCTCCCACTTGCCTGGAAGGTTGGTCATTCCTGAGGGTCACTGTTATCTTTCAAGTTTAGTATACACCTGAGAAAATTGTATAAACATAGAAACCAAGATGTCCACAGATCTAGGTGTAGCTGGAAGAATTGGAGGCCAATACCATGACAATGTTCACCTGTGTAGACCTAGAGTCATGACTCCTGCTGGGGAAGTGACAGTTATCTCAGCACCATGGGCTTTTCTCTGGTGCCTAGATAAAGGAAAGTTTATCCTTTGTGTATCAAACCCAAGTATTAAAAAAAACAGTTTGCAGGAGGATTTTACTAAAATAGTATGAGATTTGTTAAGAAGGAGCATCCACCTACCCACCCACCCATTCATACACCCACCCATACATACATACATATACCCATCCAACTATCTGTTCATACATCAGCCCACCAATCCATTCATCTGTCCATCCATCCACTCACTTATCCATTCATCCATCTAGCCATCCACCCATTACCCACTCATCCATCCACCCACCCACCAGTCATGCATTCCTCAACTCATCCATCCACTCACCCACCCACTCATCTACCGCATCCATTCACTCTTCCAGCTCCTAGAGGCTCCAGGTGTGCTTGGCTTTTGTGGCCTCATCAATCCCATCTCCACATGCCTTCTCCTGTGGCTCTGTATCTGTTCAGTCTTGAGGTTACTGTTACTACATTTAGAGTCATCCTTACCCAGGATGGACTCATGTCAAAATCTGTCACTCATTCTCTAGGTAAAGACCCTATGTGCAAATGGGTCCCAATGATGTGTTCTGGAAAATTTGTACATATTGTCTCTGTGTGTAAATAATATATGAAATATAGTTTCTTTGAAATTTATACATATAAACCACATTTATTTATATCTACAAAATGTATAATATATAACATAATTCATAAAATACACACACAAGGAAATGCTTTATAACGAATATAAATTTTTTTTCATGTCGTAGTGATTGTGAAGAAGAGCCTGGGGTCCCAATATATTTTGAAGGGCACATCTCCAATAACCTAACTTTCTTCTATTAAGCCCCACCTCTCAAAGGTTTATAACTGTCAGTTCTACCCCCTACTGGGGATGAAGTCATCAACAGAGGCCCCTTGAGGGGTCATCAGGACCCTCCATGCTTTCCCTGTCTTCCTGCGGCTACACTGCCTCCTGAGAGCATCTGCTTTCCATCTGTCTTCACATGGCCATGTTGCCAGTTTGTCAAGCAGTGGAGCCATCTGACACAAATTATTTTTTTGCCTCCATTAAGCAAAAATAATTGGCACAAAGTAGACATAATTCTGTATTTAATTCTGCTAAAAATACACACTTCTCTCTGCAACAGGTTTCCCCCATTTTTTGATGACAACCCATTTGGGATTTACCAGAAAATTCTTGCGTGCAAAATAGATTTCCCCAGACATTTGGATTTCACCTCTAAGTAAGTGCACTTGCGATTTCCTGCCCTGTCCCTCTGTTTATTTTCAGCGCTTTGTGAAATAATGCTGCAAGCACACACTGATTCATTACATATGTCAACCACTTTTCCTACCAGGAAGGGAAAACCTTTCATTTTACTGAAATATAATATTTGAAAGACCTGTTATATACCTCATTCCTTTTGGGATAGAATGTGTTGAAATTAATGCAGATTTGGAGCCAATTGTATAAGCGATCACTCTGTCCATCAATCCATCCATCCATCCATCCATTTAATTTAGAGTTGAGAAATGGTCCTATTTTGTAGCCCTAGCTGTCCTGGTACTGCTGTGTAGATGAGGCTAGCCTTGATCTCATAGATATTGGCCTCCTGAGTTCTGAAATGAAAAGTGTGCAACACTGTACCTGGCCTATTTATTAACTTTTTAACTTTAAGTTTTGAAACTCCTTTTTTGAACCACTAAGAAAAGAGGGGCTTAGTGGGAAGAAGTCACGTTATTGGAGATAGGCCCTTGAAGGAGATGCTGGGGTCCCAGGCTTTTCTTCATGATCATGCCAATGTGTAAATATGGTATTTTTGTTAATGTTTTGAAAATTTTATACACATGTATGGTATATTTTGCTGAGATTGGTTTATTAGTTGAGCTAGAAAGGCAAACCTCTGTGGCTCCACAAGTGTTCATTTTTCTTCAATTTCTTTCTCTTTCTGAAATTGCATTCATCATAAAGAATTCTTATATACAAGGTCAGCATGTTGCTTAAAAAACATTTGCTCAGTATTCATACTGACTATGCATTTCTTGAAGACTATGGCAAAATTAGTGGAAAAGAAAAAAGGATTAAAAAATATATAAATACCTTTAACTTTCCTTGATTTGAATGTGGTTAAATTTGAGCATTTTCTAACCAGAATGAGCCTTCATCTCCAATTGTTTGTTTTTTTTCATTTAGTTAGGAAGAAGGGTCCACATAGTCCAGAACTTCTGATCCTCCTCTTTTAGCCTCCCAAAGGCAGGGTGACAGACAGATTTGTGCCACCCGTATGGCACTATGTGATGCAGCAGATGGAACTCAGGACCGAGTGAGCACTGTACTTACTGAGTAGAAGCACTCAACCAACTGAGAAATAAGCATTCTGCCCACTGAGCGACAAACCCTCATCCAATTTAACTGCAAGCTCTCTGCCCGTTGTGTTACAGCCACCCTTTCCACTGAACTACAGTCCCTCTTGGATATTATTAGAGGTGCTATGGATTGCAGGATATTTGTGTGCATGTGCATGCACACAAACACACACACACACACACACACACACACACACAGAGCATCCTGTCTCCACCCTGCCTTAATTTCTCCAAGTCTTTGATTTACCGTACCTCACTGTCCTTTGCATTCTCTTGTCTTTTATCCACAATAAAGACACAGCAGAGTGGCTGGTGTTTGGGACTTTAGCAGGTGTGCTTGGGCTGCAAACTCGGTCTCCCTAGACAGACCTGTGAAACGAACACAGGTGTGGGCCTGCAAAGCCACCTTGTCAGTTACACAGGAGGAAATAATGCTGGGATAGATAAGTGCTAAAGGATTGCAGGCAAATTCCCTGGATGGATGGCTTGTGGCTTAGTGGGTGGAGTGCTTGTAGTTCAGAGTACTTATCGGCAGAGTTGTCTGGGTGCTGGTTGTTCAGTGGGGAGAGTGCTTATACTTCAATCAGTAGAGATTTTGTACCAATTTTCTACCATTTGAGTACTTGATAATTGAACATTGCGTAGAGTACTTGTAGCCCAGTAGTCAGAGTGCTTGTGACTACTGGGTAGAGTGTCACTCAGTGAGTCGTGCTGGTGCCTCTGTTGACATGCCCCGAAGCCTGGCCTTCGTCCCTCACTGTGTAAATGGTACACACATCTGTAGCTCTGGCATGTAAAAGGCAGAAGCCAGAGGTCAGGGGTTGAAGGTCAGTGTTAGGGGTGGGAGCCCAGGATGCAAGCAGCCTACCCACCCTGCCCCCTGCAAATGCTTTCCTTCTGGACACACTGTGCGGGTGCAGGTAAGGTTGGTGCCTGTGTTGATTCTGGCATTTTCCATATCTAAGTGGAGTCTGCTCTGCTCATGCAGGGACCTGATCAAGAAGTTGCTGGTGGTAGACAGGACCCGGCGCCTGGGCAGCATGAAGGTGAGTCATGCCAGAATGTTCCAGTTTGCACACTGATAGTAACATCATCTGTTCAGGGTGTTCCAGACCATGCTCAGTGTTCATTATTTTTGTGGTTTGTTTGTTTGTTTTTATTAATTCTATGTATATACTACCTGGATATATCACCGGCCATGGTGGGCAGAACACACCTGGTTCCCTGCTGCTGCAGTTATAGGTTGTCTGTCACCGTGTGGGTGCTACAAACCAAACCTGGGTTCTGTGCAAAAGTAGCCATCTCTCCGACCCATTTTGCTGTTTTCATGTAGCCCAGGCTACACGTAAACTATGTAGCTGAGAATCACCTTGGACTTGTGACCCATCTACCTCTACCTCCCAGAGCAGGGATGACAGGCTTGCAACACTTCTCATGGCTGACTTATTATTCTTTGTTAGAGTTTTATTATTCATTTGTTTGTTTTTTCTTATTTGTTTGTTTTTGAGGTGGGGGTTTCCCCAAGTAGTCTCACTGTCCTGGAACTCTCTATGTAGACTAGACTGACCTCAAACTTTACAGGCATCCCCCTGCCTTCCTTCCCAGAGTGCTGGAATTAAAGGCATATGCCACCACATCTGGCCACTTATTTTTTTAAGCTGCTTTATTGGAGAGAGATTTTACAAATGCTACCTCACACACACACACACACACACACACACGATGTTTTTCTAATGCTTTTTACTGTATATGTTTATTCTCAAGAACGGGGTAGAAGACATCAAGCGGCACCGATGGTTCCGGGGTGTGGAGTGGGAGTCAGTGCCACAGAGGAAACTCAAGGTAGGACTATCATACACCTTTAAACTAAATGAACCCCTCCATATCCTAGCCTAACCGTCCACCAAGCTCCCACTGCTGTGTCTCAGTCTTAAAAATTAATTTAGCAGAGACTTATTTAGTGATTGTCTACATGTATATGTGTTTGTTTATGTACACCATGTGACTACAATACCAGGGTGCCTGCAGCTCCTCCTTGTAAAATTTACATTCTGAGTGACAGGCACTGCATGGCCCCACTCAGCTGCCTGGTGTTACCATTCCCCGTGAGCCATGCAAACATTACTGTCAATCAACAAAAGTGTTCGACTTCCTCACATTTCTGCCTAATGGTGCTTCCCTTATTTATTTTGTGTGACCCTTAGCCACCCATTGTGCCCAAGTTATCGGGTGATGGCGACATCTCCAACTTTGAGACTTATCCAGAGAGTGAGTGGGACAAGACCCCTCCTGTATCTGACAAAGAACTGGAAACGTTCAAAAATTTCTGAGGATGGGACCCCACATCTGCAAGGTGAAACTTTCGTATTTCTGAATTTTAAGGTACGCTGTCATATAGCCAAGGATAGCCTTGAACTTAACCATGTGGTCAAAGAAAATAACACTCTGTGCAGCTGAGGATGGTGAGTTAGCCAGTCTGCAGGATTTTTTACAGTGATTGACAGGTCAGTTAGTAGTAGATGGTGCCAATCACTTAACTGCCCCCCTTTCTTTTTTCTTTACTAGGAGCATGAAGAATTCCACACAGTGCCGAGGACCAGAACCATTTTTGTTGCTTGACTTTGTTTTTTGTTTTTTTTTTCCTGAAAAACTAGAAGGATTCGGTATATGTATCCACTACCCATTCGAGGCTAATGGGATCATTGCCCTCAGGACCCAGCCTCATTTCAAAACTGGAAACCTGCCTGTTGGGAAGTTTATAAACCCTGTTAAATTGTAGATTTTTTTTCCTTCTTTCTGAGTCTTGTGTTTGTGCTGTGGAGTTAGTTGTTGTTGTTTTGCTACTGAATTTTGTAAGTTTAAATTTGACCCATTTAATTCTAGCTGTCACTGTGTATGTGCACAGACAATGTGCAAAACTGATACTTTGATATGCCTGTGACATGTTTATTTTCCAAAGCTTTCCGAAAAATCTGTCACCCTACAGGCAAAAAAAATAAGGGTGCGATATATGCATTTTTAAAATGCTTTTCTATGCATTTTGCAGTCATTTGTGTGCATTGTTTATTTAGTCACTGTTTGTTTAGTTTCTCACTGGTCACTATAAACTGGGAAGGCAGGAAGCCACATGCCCTGCAGACCCTCTTTCAAATATGGCACAAACAGGTGGCTTTCTGCAATCTTCCAGTTTAGACGTTTCCAGTAAAATATCCTTTCCTAAAGTTAAGCCAGAACTTTGCATACTGCATTAGCCACTTGGCATCCTGGGTGCAAAGATTGCCTTTTTATGATAATACAAATTTATCCACATTCCCAAAAGGGAACTTTAAGGATCCACCCCTCAACTCCCTCCTCTGTTGTAAATGACATTTTCTTCCCACCAAACTCAATCCTGTTCTCCCAGCCTAGTTCATCCGTAAAAACTCAGGTTCCAGGCCGGTAACTTTTTTTTTTTTTTTTCGAGACAAGAGTTTCTCTGTTTAATGGGCCTAGCTGTTCTGGAACTAGCTCTGTAGACTAGGCTGGCCTCAAACTCACGAGATCCACCTGCCTCTGCCTCCCAAGTGCTGGGATTAAAGGTGTGCGCCACCACTGCCCTGCCGGTCTGGGAACTTTTATGAACGTTTGTACAGAGCTGTATTTTCAGTGAGCTTTCTCAGCCCTTTCCAGTATGCAAAATAACTGGGTTATGTACCACAAACAAACATACACAGGAGATAGAACTCAAGATTATAATCAAGCCCTGTGAATAGGCACGCTGACCCACATAGGTGCTGTATTCATTTGATATTAAATAGGAAATAATATAAATTAGCATAGGAAACATCGCCTTAATTCTAAACATATACGGGGAGATCACACATATGCACATGTACCCACTGTGCGCTCTTATTTAACAGTTTGACCGCTGATCCTAAAAATAAAATTAAATACCCTTATAAATTATGCCATGTGATGTCATTGTAGTGACATCAGATAGTGCGTATGAATCATAATTTTTATTTTAATATTCTTAATGTGTGTGCATGTGACTTCAGTACATATGGGACCAGCAGAGCACTCCAGAGACCCTACAGCTGGACATACAGGCAATTTCGTGTTGCGCTGTCCATGTTTTAAACCCAGCCTAGGTCCTCTGCAGTCCACATAGTTAACATGCAAAAGAAATAAAATTAGGAAGGGGTGCTGGGGCAAAAGCAACCAGGAAAATGGATAAGGGAAATATGTCCTGTTTCCACCTCTGAGTCTAAAGAGAACTGTGCACCCAGCACCTTCTCTTAAAGCAATGGGACAATTAATGAATTTTAAATTTCTCTGATGGTTGGTTGACTTGAACCAAGTACAAAAGTAAGATAATCAGTAACGACTACTAATTTAAAAGCAAATCCCCATGCTCTCCAATCAAGACTAATTTTTGTTGTTGTTGTTTTTTTAGTGTTTAGTAGCGATAAAGTACTAAGTGCCGTGGAATGGTGCTCACCTCACCTAATTAGCTGTCACATGTTACACTGTAAAATGTGATTTGACGGCTAAATACTGTTCACAGGACCCTCGGGCTGTGCTTATATCCCAACATTGGATCAAAACATAGCAGTCAATCACCACTGTGCTGCTCGGTGAACCCTAGGCAAGATTTAGCATTGTGTGGAGCTCTATGTTGGGATGAAAAACTGGAGAAAGGGTCTATCACGTCTGGCTGTAGATTTTGAGGTGTGTTGATTTCCTGGGTTTTGTGTGTGTGTGTGTGTGTGTGTGTGTTGTTGTTGTTGTTGTTTTTGATGACGCTACATAGGGAGCATTGATGAATGCCTGATACTTGTCATCCTTGTTTCACACACACACACTGCAAACCACCTGAAAATTATGATGCAAAGTCAAGGATTTTGTATGAGTTGGTTTCCCCCATCTGTTTGTGTGTGTCCGTGTCCCTATCCTTGTTTGTCCCCATCAAATCTGCCTTGCAAACCTCACAGCCTTGCATCCAACCGTACACTGTCATTTCCAAGGGGGTGTGGGTGCTCTATCTGGCTATGTAATAGACATCCTTATTTGTGTAACTTAGGGAAAGTGAGCGGGAGCAGGAGCCTCCCCAACCCTCCTGGTTCTCACAGGTCAGACTCAAACCCCCTTGGCAACCTCAGTTCTCCCAGTGTGGGGACTCACCACTCGACCTCCTGATGGAACAGGTGTCGCGTGCACTGTGCAGGTGTGTCCTCGCTGCTGAGCACTTGCTGGCTCGCCTGAAATTATCACCTGGAATGAAAAAGCCTGGTCTTTCATCTTACTTTCTAATCCTGCTGCACAATTTAAAAAATCACTGTGATTTGTGTATATATCTATCTATATCTTTCTATATATATTTGCCCCCAGGAAAATTTTTCTGCTGTCTAATTTATAAAATAATACTATTGTGTCCAGGTTTGTTTAATAAAAGTTTGTATGTTAAGAAATCTGTCTCAGATCCTTCTTTGGCTTTTTCGGGTTAACACCATAGAACAAAAGTAGTTAATGACTACAGTGGTCCAGTCACCAGTTGGTGCCCATTCTCGGAGGCAGAACTGAAGAGGTTCAAATAAAGTCAGGTTTATCAAGGAAATGGGTATATACCCCTGTAGCAGGAGCTGATGATTGTTTCCATGAAAATTAGCACCACCACCCCCAGGATTTTTCTAGTGTTATTAACTGCAGACAGCATGAAGGGGAGGAGGGGCATAACCTAGTCAGGGAGAAGAGTGAGCGGGGAGTGGTGGAGCTGCATTAACCCAAATCACATGTTTGTGTGCGTAAAATTTTTCTAACACAGGTACTGGGCCTAGCACTACTGGGAGAAGGTCCCCACTGTCATGCCTTGGTCAGAAGTTGGTAAACAGTAAACAATGCCAAGCCCAAGCCACACAAAATCATTGGTAACATGGCATTTGCAGCAATGTTGCCAAATCACAAACATCCTAAGTAATTGTCTCATAAATCTCTTTTAAATGATTTTTTAAAGTCTATTCTCCCCAGTAGCTGCTCAATGAAATCGTCACTGCAGCTGGCATAATCCATGAGCCAATCCCACTGCCCCAGGAACTACAAGGGTTTGAAAACATTTTGGTGGGATGAGGAAGGGATGGGTACTGGAGAAGGTGGTTCTCTGTGTAAAGCACGTGGATTTTCGACACTGCTATAAATATAGAAACATCACCTGGAGTTCTACACAGGACTGGGTTATTGTGTGGTGGGACCATGCCAATGGGCCCCCTGGCAGGCCCGGTTGGGAGGCAGGGAGGCAGGGAGGCAGGGCTAATGCATGGAAACGGGTGGTTGGAGCATTCCTGAGGCAGCAGGCCCCAAAAGCTGTGGGCTAGGATGTGACCTCCCTACAGGCAGATTGATCACTCAGAGCAGCAACCCCAAATGAGGGTAGGAAGGGAAAGGAAAAGATTGAGACGTGAAGGGAGGGTAGGGAACTCAGGCTTCTCCAGACTGTGGAGGGCGGGGATCAGGCCAGGAGGATCCCCGAGGTGGAGGTTCACACCCTCCCTGTTCGCTGTTCTCAAGAGATTCCTAGGAGGAGACTCGCCCACACAGGGGAGAGACAGGCCCTGACTGGAGAGGAAATGTCCTGAAAAACAAACAGTCCTGGTAGTCTCATGTGTCTTATAAAAGCTTATATTGAAATAGGTCCTTGTTTCGTTTCAGTTCGGTTGTTTTTATTTTTTTAAATACTGTCTCATTACATAGCCCAGAGCAGTCTTAAGCTCAGGTTGGCATCAGAGCATCAGACACACTGCAATCTTCCTCTTACCAAACCTTCCAAATACTGGGATTCCTTTTTTTTTCTTTTTTTACTTTTTGATTAGGTTTATTCGTTTTATTTTATGTCTGAGTGTTTTCTCTGCATGTATAGCTGTGCACCATGTGCATGTTTGGTGTCCACCAATGTCAGAAGATGCATCAGAGCCCCCCAGAACTGGAGTTATGGATGGTGAGACGGATTGTTGTGAACTACTACATGCATGGGTGCTGGAAATCAAGCCTGGGGCCTTTGCTAGAGCAACCAGTGATCTGAACCTCTGAGCCATCTCTCCAGCCCCTAAATGCTGAGATTCTAATTTGGAACTTCCCTGCAAAACAGCAGAAACAAATGTTAAGGTGTGCCCTGCATGAATATGACTCAGAATGAGGTAGTTGATTCTGTCTTGTAAGCCCAAGGCCCTCCCGTTGATCTTCAACGCTGCAAGGAAACAAAACCCAAACATACTAAAGAGTCCTCAGATTTTCGGCACACACTCCCTACCCATCTGACTCTAAATGCACAGCTAAGGTTGAATCAGACAAATAAATAGGCAGCTGGAGAGCCTGTGAAGGATGAGATGAGCAAAATGATTCTAGACATGGTAGAGGAGATACACTGGTACACTGAGGCTGGCTATTCTTTGGGGGTGATATAACTTGTTATACCACAGAAAGATGGCAAGGCAAAAACTCTGAGGGAGCTCAGGGCCATGCAGGAAAATAGGAGGCCCTCCTTGAGGGCTAAGGAGGAGGATTAAGAATGCACACTACATACACAAAAGATGTTACGCTTCTAACTGACATGACTGTGGTTGTTCCCACAGACCCCTCGCTGCAGTACAGAGGTTCTCAGCATAGTTTGTGGTCTGCAGGAAAGGACCCTTGGCAATGTCAAATGACAGTTTTGCTTTCACTTTGGAGAAGGCGTTGCTCCTGACCTGTGGAGAGCTACCCATTGCTGTTCAGAATTCTAGAATGCTTAGAATGGCCTTGCTACTAGCAAGATCCTTAAGTGTCCTTAATGCCAGCTCTAGAAACTCTCAATATTAAAGACATTATTATTATTATTATTATCATTACATTATTATTTAGTTGTTTAAATTGTTTTGTTGAATCTCTGTAGGCTCTATCATCATCTATTTCTCTCTGTGTTTATATGTCACCTTTTTTGTCTTAAAAATATTCTGTGCATCAGTGTTTTCCTTGCATGTATGTATACCTAGTGCCCACACAGTGCATAAGGATCCTGTGGAACTTAAGTTGCAGATGGCTATAAGATGCCATGTGGAGGTTGAGAATCAAGCCTTGGTCCTACAGAAGAGCAGCAAATGCACCTTTATCAATGCAGGACTCGCTCTCCTCTTTTTTATTGGAGGCAGCATCTGTAAGCCTAAGCTGGTCTTGAAGTCATAATCCTGTCTCAGCTTCCAGTGAGCTGGGAATATAGTTGAGCCCTTTTCTAACTGAACTTAATGGACTTCTGTGGTGCTTAGTGCAAATTGAAAATAAATAAAACCAATAAATAAAATGGTGGAGATGAGAAAACTTGTAGAGCCCTCAACAGAAGATGTTGACCCAGGGCAGGATCTGGGTATGGATTAGGCTCGCAGACCCAGAATAAATTTATCATGCCAGAGTCTTCATCAGTAGCTGTGGACACAGGTAGTATACTGGATCTGAGCCTGTATTAGATAGATCCACAAGTGCTCTGGAAGTTTCATATCTCCCAGTGGATTTAGCAGAATCTATAAACTGGGCTGGGGACTGCGTCTACAGAATGAGATCTTGGGCAATCAGATTTATAATGAGACCATGCCTCAAAATACAAACCTAAGCCGGATGATAGTGGTACATGCCATTAATCGCAGCATTCAGAGGCAGGTGGATCTCTGTGAGTTTGAGGCCAGTCTGGTCTACAGCATGAGTTCCAGGATGGCCAGGGCTGTTACACAGAGAAATTCTGTCTCAGAAAACCAAAACAAATAAGCTAAATTAGTTAGGGGACTGTAGAGCCAGCTCTCTAATGCTAACATTAACATTAGGCCTAAAACGCTGAGCACAATCCCCTAACTCTAACCTTAACCAAACATAAAAGATTATAAAGCATGCATACACCTAGACCCAACCCTATCTTGCATCATAGAGCTAATTTATATTAAGGGATATGGTAATTGGATTATACAGAAAAAAAACATGTATGAAATTTGAAACCTATCAGATTTTGGTCCAAAAGAAGTTTCTAATGCTAATACTAACCCTAAGACCCTGACTATAATCCTTTAACCTTAATTCTAAACTTAACCTAACCTAACAGACAATAAAACACTCATATACCCAGGTCTAACCTTACCTTGTATTATAGGCATAATATAATTGGAGGTATGTCAAAAAACGGGACAAAATACGAAACCTATCAAATTCTGCTGTAAAAATTTTCCAATCTTTGAGGTTAGATACTCAGTTTTTTAGAAACATATTTGGACCTTTTTTGAGACATTAAAAAATTTAAACCTGCTGTCGCTGAACCAGTTGAAAACTCTGTGATGCTCTATACCACTGTTATCTTGAATCAGAATGACTGGCGAAATGCTCTGCAGAGTCCAGACGGAACCAACGCTGTTAACTTAGAAGTGTCACACCCAGGCAAGGGACTCCAGGCAGGTGGTGACTGAGGAACTTACAGCCATAGAGATCTCTCCTCCAGAGGCAAAGGCTAAGGAGCAGCACTTAGACCCCCTAAGTATGATACTTTGTTTCTACAAAATACCCCTGCCTCGGTGACAATGTGTTTGCCTGGAAGTCAGCCACTTTCAGACCCTACAGTGATAAAACCATCATAGAAGATGGAACATCCAGATCTGCACAGCATGCAGAATCCAAGGATCAAGGTTGGCTAGCCAACAGTCCCTAAAGGAAGGCCATCAGATTATGCAATCTGATCTAAAAAAATGGAAAAAGACAAATTTTACAAGTAGAAAAGATCTTTGCTCTAAAGAGGCTTAGATTTTTTTCCTGTTTTTTGATTGTTTTTTCTGTTTTTTGATTGTTTTTGTTTTGTTTTTTCAAGACAGGGTTTCTCTGTACACACCTGGCTGTCCTGGAACTTGCTCTGTAGACCAGGCTGGCCTCGAGCTCAGAAGAAGTCAGATATAATAATAGCATTATGATCAACCATCTAAGACCTATGCAACCAGATATGAGATTAACTAGGAGCAAATACGTAGAGTAGAATCAAATGGGAAAATGACACATAGGAACAAATACTATCTACCGTTAATCTAGTAAAGGTCACTTACGAGTGGCTATTGCCACTACATCAGAAACTAAGACATCTAGGAACACAAGAACTAAAACACTGGTTAGATTAATGTACTAATAAGACACCTTGGCATGTTATTAAGAATACTATTAAAGGTTGTGAAAAGTGCTCACAGAAGCCGACTAGATTGCAACTCCATTGGCAAGGCTACAT